AGCAGGAAATATCTGCCTTGAAGCTGAGGACAGGCACTAGCTCTGCCACAGCTTCTCCTACCTCCCTGAGCAAACCCTCAGCTCTGTGAAGCCATGGCCACTGGTGCTGTTCCCAAAAGACTCTAGGCTTCTTGCCTCTGGGCCTTAGTTCTCTTCTCCTCAGCACCCACATACGCCCTCCCCCTGCTCTGGTCCCGAGCAGCCTGCTCATTAGTCAGCCTATGTTACAGGGCTTTTGTGGTCTGCCACAGCTTCTCCTACCTCCCTGAGCAAACCCTCAGCTCTGTGAAGCCATGGCCACTGGTGCTGTTCCCAAAAGACTCTAGGCTTCTTGCCTCTGGGCCTTAGTTCTCTTCTCCTCAGCACCCACATACGCCCTCCCCCTGCTCTGGTCCCGAGCAGCCTGCTCATTAGTCAGCCTATGTTACAGGGCTTTTGTGGTGACTAAGAGATGAGAGGGGCAAAGTGCTCCATGTAGCGCCTGGCTCGGAGTGAGCACTCTGGGTCCTAGGATGAGTCTTAGTGCTTCCAGTCAGGGCACAGGAGATGGGCATCAGGTGTCAGGCATGGCCTGAGTTCTCTGCCTCTGGGAGCCCATGTGATGATTGTCTAGAGCCTGCAGGCAATGCTGAGAGAGAACGCAGGAGCCATAGCTCGTGTGGCATGGCTCCCCTAGTGGGTCACAGCTGGCCTGATCAGACCCTGGCAGCCCCATTGGAGGTGTGCCCCTCACTCCAGGCTCTGCAGAGGAGCCAGCAACTTGTGGGCTGTTGTGGAGCAAAGCCATTCCACCATTCTAGGGATCCCAGGGGTGCCCTCACAACTCACCCATCTTTCCGTCCTCCACAAAGAGGATATGCAAGGGGTACAAGGTGCTGAAGTAGAAGACGTCGATGTTGTTCTTCACGGCCACCTAGGAACAGGGGGCCCCGAGTAGGTCCCTGATGCTTGAGTCTACCTCTGAGGCCCCAGGAAGGGCTTACTCGCTCCTTGCATCCCCCACCTGAGCTGATTCCCTCACATGCCTTCCATGGGAACCATACCCTTTTGTCCCCTCTGCCTGGGCTTCCTCATCACATCTGTGGCCAAGAGCATAATTCTATAGACACAGTCCTTTGCCAATACAGGACAGGCCCCAGACCTTCTACCAGACTCCTCCCCTGGGGTGGGCGGGTGGGTAAGGACTGGGGTTCTTTGTCCTGCCCGGAACACACCTGTAGGTTGTTCAGAGGCTCCATCTTCATGACCGAGCCCACTGTGTTGAGAGGCAGGGAGATCTCCACAGTCTGGTTGGGGCTGAGCGGTGCATGGACCTGGAGCGGGGCAGCGGGGGCCAGGCCAAAGCTGGGGAGAGAGAAGCCCCCATGGGGATGGCAGGGGGAGCAGGCGCTGACACGGGCTCCTCAGACTTTGGAGCTGGGGCAGCGGTTGGTGAGAAGCCTATCCAGCAAGCCGGCCTCGCCCCAGACCCAAGCCCAGGCCAGAAGGACAAGCTTCTGACCTCCACAGTGGCCTTTATCCCACAGTGGCCATATGAACAGAAGAACATATGGCTGTAGGCCTGAAGCCCATCTCTACGCTTCTTTCTCTTCTGGGCTAGGCACTGGGCAGGTCCAGGTAAGCACGGCCTTGCCCTCTCCTGCCCTCATGGAGCTCCATCTAATACCAGGGGCCTATAAGCTTCTTCTAACTTAAAAACTCTGTGTCTACCCAAGTCTCTGCTGGCAATTACCATCTCCCAGAAGGAATGTGACCATCCCAAGTGACATGCTGGGTTTTATTTTCTGGGCCAGAACTGGCCAGGTCACACACTGGCCAGAGATACTCAGGAAAGCCCTGCTTTTTGATAAATCAGCATGTGGGTAAATCAGATGGATCCTTATGAGTGTGAGAGATACCCCAGCCACAGGCTCTGGGATGATAAGTCACCATGGTATTGCCTGGGACCATGAACTGAGTGCTCACTGTGCCCAGGTTGAGCATTTAATATCACACCTGTCCTTGTAAAAAGAGCAACAGGCATACAGTCTCCCATCTTCCAGGACACAGAGACTCAGGGAGAGGCAGGCCTGTGTCCAGAGCATTAGGGGGCGGTTGTGTGTCACTGCTGAGATCCAGAGCTTGAGCTGCCTGACTCCAACCTGATGGCAACCAGGCCTGCCAGGAGACAACGTGGGGAAACCCAGGCCCTTGTGCTGGCCCAACACTCCAGGATTTCCTGGGAGTTCCACTACTACCTGCCATGTGACCTCTGAGCCCAGGTGTCATTAACTACTAAAAAGGGAGTAATGGCACTGAGATGTCAGGTGGCTCAAGTGAGATAATACTCTGAAAGCCCTTGGCACAGTGCCTAGAACTTATTAGGAAGTTTTCAACACAAAGTTTGTTATGAGCAATCACTGGGACCACTCTTTAAAGCTTCAAGTGTTTCTGTGGCCTCTAGTGTCATCTGGGGGTAAGTGTTCCAGCAGCTGCCACCTGGTCTGACAGAGGGTCAGGAACCACTGGCCCACAGGATCTCCCTGAGGAAGCAGCCCCTTCAGTCAACTTCTTAGAGGCTCAGTTTGCTCATCACTAGAGCCACTCAGGAAGAAGAATCATCAGGAGAGGCTGCTTGGGTTCCCCAGAGCACGAAGACCCTGATGGTGCCAGATGTGAGACCTTCCCCACTGACCCCCAGTGCAGGGGACCTGATGGGGGTGAGGAGCCTGGAGCAGCCACCACTCTCAGAGATCCTGATAATTTAATCCTTTGCTGGCAGGCAGGCCCATGCCCCATCAGCCTTCTTAGAGCTGGAAGCAACTAAGGCCTACAAAGGAGGCTCCAAGCTCCTGTTATGTGGGGTGTTTGCCAAACACAGGCTCCTAGGCTGGAGCTGGGGATGTCTGTCACTAAAACAACCCCTTTGGGCAGTGGAGGAAGGTAGTAAAAGGAGAAATACCCTACTCCCTCTGCCTAGTACTTTGGAATCCACTTAAAAGGTCATTGTGGGGGAAATCACTGCTTTAGAGAATTTTGGCCTTAAGTGTGGTTGTGAGGAATACCCACCTTCACAACAAAAGAGGCATCAGGCCTCTGGCAGCCTGCCTGCAGTCACAAGCATGGGCTCTTAGCAGGCTGGCCTCAGGGAGCTCACCTGTTGCGGTTGAACTGGATGGCAAAGTCGGTCATGACCTGCAAGGCCTTGTTGGTCAGTTGCAAGTCCATGGAGATGGAGCCCACTTGGCGGGTGAATGTGCCTGAGATCTCCAACCCCTTGGCTTTCATGGCAGGGAGCCAAACCTGCAGGGAAGATGGTGGGGAGGGAGCTGGTGTTTGCTACTTCCCCCAAACTCAACAGACCACTTGAGGGTCCTCTCTCTCCCTCCCTCTGTCTTCTTCCCTGTCTCCCTCTCCCTGATCCCCCACACATCCCTACTCTCCTGACGGTGCCTTCTAGATTGACTACAACTGCCTTTACCATCAGGGGATGACCATTTGTATCTTGGGATGAGAATGATCCTGCATGGCCCACCCAGGGCCACCATCATGGTGTGGCTGTATACTGGAGCAGCTCTGGGTAGGGAAGTGCATGGTGTGCCCAAGGGCTGACCTAAGTCTTCAGAGGCCAAAGAAGGAACTCAGGAAGCAGGGCTGAGGAAACTTAGGACACAAGTAGGCCCTTGACGAGTAATGGAGAGTCGAGTACCCAAGGCTATCTTGGGCTTCAGCCAGAGGTTGAGGCCTCCCTGGCTGTCACAGACTGTCCTCTTCTGCAGAAGGCAGTGTTAGAGAAAATGGTCTGTCCAAGGACAGTACCTAAGAGGATCCTTTGCCTGGCAGGCCCTCTGCTGTTTGGCTGCCCTTGTCATCTGAGTCAGCTTCAGAGCTGCCTCCTCAGGGAAGTCCTCTACCAGGCTCCTTCCTAGTGGTATTCAGGGAGTGTTTGCTGAGCAAACAGCTTGAATTTAAGCCCTGCCCATGAAGGACATCTGCTGGTATCATCCTGTGGACACACAAACGCCTCTCAGGCTGTTATTTTCATTCGGACAGCTTACACAGTAAGAGTAAAAGGCTCAGGCATCCCTTGACAGCTTCCCTAAGGTGCCCTGTGTCAGCAAATGTACCAACATCTCTTAAGTTGCCAACATTAGGAACCTCAGGGCCATATGGGCAGCAGCCCTCAGCCCACCGTGACCACCTTCCACCATCATGCAGCCCAAGTCCTGTCAACGCTATCTCTTCCAATCTGCTGTCAGATCCTCTGCTTCTCTTCTCTCTACAGCCACCGCCTGTGTCTGAGTTGCCATCAGAGTTCACCAAGTAAGATGGCGGTTGCCACGTGGCTGTCCCAATTCCTCCCTCCCTAATTTCCACAAGAGCTAAAGTCATCTTTTAAAATGCAAATCTGATCACATAAAACCCCTTTGATCATGCAATGGCTTCCAGTGCCCATGGGCTCGCCTCCACAGTCCGTTGCCCTGCCCTCCCCAGGCTCTGCTGGCACCTGTTCTTCTGGCATCCACACAGGCTGTTTGTTCCCTGTTTGGAAAGTTCTTCTCCAGGCCCACGGCCATCCCCACTGTACTTGCTAACCCTGATCATCCTTTGCTTCCTCTGGTCAAATCTGTGAGAGCGGAATCACATGGCTTTAGTTCTCAGCTGTGACCTGGCATACAGACAGCACTCAAAGGTCTCCTGTACAGTGACTTCTCTGTGCTCCATCCTTCCATCAGGCCTCCTTTCCCAGGTTCTTGCAGAATTGGCTGCTCTCTTTCTGTGACCGTGCCTAAGTGCTGAGGGTAGGGACCTCATCTCCCTTGATCACTGTGGGTTCATTGAGTCTAGCACAGGTCCTAACAGAACTAACCCCGAACATTTACTGGAGGAACCAATGAACTGTCACCACCCACTGGTCCAAATGCTTGAGGAACTACAAGTTCAAGTACACAGTGAACCTCATCCCCCTTAACCAGGAAGTTTGGAGAATGTATTTATCCCCACAGGTGGGGCAGGGAAATACACACAGAACAAAAAATTGTAGGTAGTCACAGCGCTGTTAGGAAAATGTAGATGACATACCTACTGATTCTGAAGAGACAGTAGCCAAATCCCGGAACATCCTGTGACTAATGTAATGGAGAAAGTCCTGTCCATGATGTAAGGACTCCTCCTCCAGAAAACTTGCCCTGATTCCTTCTGTCCTCATAATTCCCTCATCTCATTTCCAGCACTCACTGCTGATATACCCATCTGGCTAATCACTAAGACAGAGGAGTGATAACATCTGTTAAAATGAACACACAGCTCCCTGAGGGCCAGCTCCAGGGTTTATATTCCTGGTAGCTCTGCAATGCCTAGCAAGGGCTGGCAACTGCAGAGCTGCAGGAGTCTTTGCTGCTCTTCTGTCACTTGGTCCTGCCTTATGCCTGTTACACTGGGGTTCTAATGTGTATGGGCTGGTCTTGTGCATCACTGTAGCCAATCCATGTACTAATTAGTCAACTGAATATTTTTTACATCATACCTCATATTTGTACGTTCTCTTCAGCCCTACTAATTCTGACAACTCATGACATTAAGGCAGGCACAGAGGAGGTTCTCAAACACTTCGGGATACGATCACATAGGGGCTGGAAGCACAGACTTTGGTGCCACCTCCCTGCATTCAATTTCAGATTCTGTCACTTACCAGCTAGGTGATCCTAGGCAAAAGCACTCAGATTTTTCAACTGCGAAAAGGGAATAACAGTAGAATAAGGCTGCTGGGAGGTTTTAGTGGAATGAGCTCCTGCAGTCCCTGGCACGGAAGTGTGCAGCTGCCAGCACTAGACTTGCTGTCTGCTATGGTCCCCCTGGGCCCAGATCCTGCCTGGGGGCTCCAGTCACCATTGCTGCAGATACAGCTGGCATACCTGGTAAGGCCAGGGCAGGTGCTGGCTCATAGCTTCTTAGTCACAATGAAGATAATACTGTGTCCCTGAAGCCCTGCTGTATGTTGCTCTGGGCAGGGAACCTTAGAAAAAAAGAGGGGCTCTGGCTGGGAACAAAGTGGCAGACATGGTATCTGACCTGAGTGTTGTGAGGGGATCGGGCCAGGTCCATCCCAAAGCAGCTTCTGTTATGTTAAGGGCGTGGCCCACACTGTGCTCTACTTAGTGCCAGGCCCACATGTTCTCATACTCCAAACTCGGCTCTTCTTCCCTTGCCTGCACCAAGTCTTCACAACATTGAAATATATAATTTTATGCTTTTCCTTTTACGTCTCTTCTATGCAGTGGGAGCATCTTATTAATTTGAAATTAAACATGCAGGTAGATGCATAGTCCAGAAATTTCATTTAAAAATAAGAAAAGAAAATGGCATTATAAAATGTCTACTGTCAATAACAGGCATTGAGTTGGCCAGCACTGAGAACCATTGCTCCAACCAGATGGGGCTTTTGCCGGTTCCCTAGAAGGTGCTGGGCTCTCCCTCACCTTCAGGCCTTTCCACAGGCTGTTACCTCAGCCTGGAGCCCTCTTCCTACTTTTGCCTGGCTAATTCTGACTTGATCTGCAGGCCTGAGCTCTAGCTTCCCTATAGGATGTCTTCCACAGTACCCCATGCCTGACTCAGGATCTCTTCCTTGTGCTGCCATAGGCCCCAGCTGCCCTCCACATTGTGCTGGCAAACTGCTGCTCCTGGAGCCCATCCCACTGGCCTGAGCCGATTCCACGGAATTTAAGGAGCCCATACTTCAGTCTCTAACTTCTTTCTGCTCTTGCCATGAGAGGAGGTGTGGTACTTACTGCTTTGGGGGCCACGTATGATCCAGACAGGGTGCCCACACCACTGGTCAAGTCAAAGAGGTCACTCAGGCCACTGCCCATGGGTGCTCCTAGGTTGGCTGGTACTGCTGCTGCTGGGGGTGTCACAAAGTTGGGGCCCCCAATCTGGAAAGCAAGGGAAAGGGGTCAGAGGCAGGGATCTAATGCAGGGACATTAGGGGCCCGGGATGAGTAGAGCCACCTGGCTCTTTAGAAAATAGGGGAGTAGGGCAGCAGGGGGTCCCTCAGGGCTGCTGTCACATTAACTCTAAGTTGCAAAGATAAGACAGAGTGAGGTGGGTGGAGAAGGGAGACTCAGCCCTCCCATGCCCTGTAAGCTTTGAGCCTTAGGGGTGACCTAAGTTACTGCTGCCCCTCTGAGAAAGGGCTGAGGACATTCAAAAATTAACACTAAGCTTACGGATAAAAGGGGTGCCCAAGACATACTGCTATGAGGGGGTTGTGCTAAGCAGATGGGAGTGTGCCTGCCAGGATGTCAGAGAGGGGCCATGAGGACAGAGAGGGCTGGCAATTCTGAGAATGACAAGGCAACTTTTGTTATTGGATAGTGAGGATAGGGTAAGAAATTTATGGATATGGGGGCTCAGTGGCAACTGGATGCCAGGAGGTCAAAGCAGAGGCTGCCAGGACACTGGACAGAAGGCCAGGGCTGGGAGGGACTGCTTTGACCTCATCTGACCCTTGGGATGCTGGGCCAGTGCTCTCAGGAGCAAGGATGAAGGCTTGGTGACACAAAGGTTGAACCATACCCCTTCAGGCTCATCCCCCATCTCCAAGCAGAAGCAGGCAGGGTGAAGAGGACACAGGCAGCCACATGCATACAGAAAAGCCAGGAAAGAATATATAGAGAGAGAAGAGAGGGAAAAAAAGAAAAGATTAGTTACTGCTGCCCTATCTGAGAAGAGTCTGGTGCAAGGCTGTGCTGGCCCTAGGAAGGGCCTAGACTGTCTCTGTGAAGGGCACCACCTCTCGGTCTTACCCACTGCCCACATCCTATGCCACAGCCCTTCCTATCCTTTCTTGTTCCACAGCCTTGGAGACTTGAGCCAGGCATGGCTGAATGAAAGAGGCTCTGCTGCCCCTTCACTGGACGAAGTTCCAGGGAGATACCCATGCGTCTCACCACCCCCTTCTTCAGGGGAGGACTGTCTCTGACCTCTCTTAAACCTCTCTCAAGCCAAGCTGGTGCACAGTATGGGGGTCAGTGGACACAGGTCTGGCTTCTCCAGTCTTAAGGCCAAGATGCCTGCAGGGTCAGACTTGGGGGAATGGACTAGGACTGGCCTTACACTACCCCAAGTTTCTTGGGATTCAGTGGCCTGGCAAAGAACTAAGTTCTATGTCTGCTACTTAGCAGCCGTGCTCTCTTAGAGGGAAGTCACCTGACCTTTGTAAGCCTCAGTTTTCTTACCTGTAAGGAGCTACGTGATCACCTATGCAGGCAGAGGTACCTAGTTGGTGCTTGGCATAGGGAGGGTGTTCAGTGATTGCTCTTCTGAAAATCATTATCACTGTCATCCAGAGGGGTTCCCAAGACATACCAGGCTGTCAAGGCCACCACCAAGGAGGTCCACAGCTCCCATCTGCACCGAGGAGGTGGCCAGAGGTGGGCCGCTCACTGGGGGCCCGAGGTCCAGGTTGAGGAGGTCGCCCAGCAGGTCGCCCTGGGCAGGGATGACATCCGGCTGCTCACTAGAGGGCACTCCAGCAGGGGCTGTCTCAGGGCTCTCTGTGCTCTCACTCCTGTGAGGACACAGGTGGGAGGTTAGCAGGGTGTGGGGTAGGGCTGTCTGAGGAAGGTCAAAGGTCGGAGTCCCCAGTCTCTAGGATCCTCCCCTAGGACATGCGCCTGGGTCTCCTCACTGTCCCCAGAGGGGCTGTCTACATGCTTCTTCCTCCTCCCCCTTCCTCCGATCCATCTTTTTGGCTCTCCAAGAGATCCAGCTTCATGAGAGTGAGTGAAGGGAGAGAACATCTATATTTCACCACTTAGCCAGCTCTAAAGAGAGCACTGGGCAACCAGGCCAAACCTGGGACTGGCAGAGGAGGAAGGCGAGAACGGGAGTCTGGAATCAAAGAGAATGGAGTCTGAGTCCAGCTCTCTTGGCTGGGGATGCTGTACCAGGCACTCAAACTCTCTATGCCTTTTGTCCTCATCTGTCAAATGGGGACATCTCTAAGAGCTCTAGTAAGGATCAAATGAGGTCACCTAGACAATATCTGGTATGTGGTAAGCATTCAATAAAAGGTCTCCAGAATCATAATTTTCCTCAGACTCAGGCCTTGCCAGGGGACATCACACCAGGACTGAGCACCTGTGCTACTGAACTGAGGAACCAGGTTGGGAGGCTCAGCCTGGTGACGGGCCCACTTCACTCACGAGGCAGTGCGGGGTGGCAGGCTCTTGTGCACAACACCCCGGCCTCCCTCCACAAAGGCGCTGGGTGGCTTGTGGTAGACAGAGGCCAGTGTGCCAATGTAGCAGATGAGCTCATCCAGCAGTGTGGGCTCGATGAGGTCAGTCTCTTCAGAGATGAGTGGCTTCTCAGCCAACACCACCTCCTTGGCAGCCACTGGGTCTGTAGAGAGCAGGCGCCAGTAGATGTAGCCACGGTCCCGCAGGTCCGGGTTGTCTGAGTCCTTGTTGGGGGTGATGAGAAGCCCATGAAACTCAAAGCAGAGAAACCGGGTGAGAGAAAGGGGAAGAAATTTCAATGGACACGGCCCCCAGCCCTGCACTCCCTTCCCACTCTAGCCCACCAAGCAGGTCATGCCCACTTCTATCTCCTTCCCTACTTCCCTCCATAGGCAGCCTGTCCTCCTTGCCCTCACATAAACTCCCTGGTTCTCATAGACTTCCCTCTCCTCTCTCATTTACAGTCTGTCTCAACTTCAGCACCTGACCCCATTCCATCTTGATTTGTTTTTGAGCTCCTTGAAGAGGTATTCTGGATTACTCTGGGGCCAAACTCACAATGGGGATAGTCTTAGGGGCAGGACCACCTGGGTCTGGACCGAAATGCCCCTTGTGGAGCAAGAGTTGTGTTGGACACAGTGGGGCGGCTGGGGCACCGACCTGAGTGGCCAAGCTGAGGACCTGCTGCACCAGCTCCTGGGTCTCTGTCGGCTTCTTCAGAAAGAGTTTCACAATGGCTGTCAGCAGCTGCAACTGAACCTGAAGGAAAGGAGGTGACAAGGAAGAAGTGTGGGCTTCATGTGGGGATAGCAGGAAACCAAATGAGGACATCACAGAGGGAAAAGGGGTTCAAAGGCCCTAGAAGTGAACACCTTTCCTAGGTTTGAGGGTGGCCATGGAACACAGACGAAGGCCAGCAGGGGGTGTTGGTAGTGCCGAGTGCCCTAGACCTCGGCATCACCACTAAGCAAGGAGCTGGCCATTGTACTGTGTGGCAACCCTGTGTAAGCCAGGGGCTGCTGCCTAGCCCTGGGGTCCCAAAAACTTGTTAGGGCTCCAGGCCTCATGGTGCCTCAAAGAGCTCACAGCTTAAAAAGGCAACATGTAGCTGGTAAGCTTCTTAAAGGGACCATATATCAAGAAGAAGAGATGGTGCCAGTGAGGTCTAAGGGCCCACAGAGCCGGCCGTTTGTTGAGGAGCTGTGCTGCTACCACAGGAACTATCCCTGACCAGCCCTATCTCAGCCTTCACCTTTTACCTGGCTGCTGCCTTCACCTGAATGTGCCTCCTGCTGCTCTCAGCCTGGCCATCACCACCTTACCCCTCAGATCTTGTACTGACCCGAGCCCCCACAATGTTTTTGCAGCCTCCTGAACTCCCTTATCAGTGCTGCCCCACTGTATTGGAAATGCTTTCCAGCCACCGGACTGTCCTGTGAAGAGAGCCCCTTGAGGGCAGATCATGTCTGTCATAGTTGTATTCTTGGTTATTGCTCGATCTAGTATCCAGTGTATAGCAGGCACTTAAGGAAAACTTGCTGACTGAAAAAACACCTCTGAAAGAACAATTACCTGCACACACTC